GATGGCATGATGGCATTGCAGAAAGCCAATCAAGCACATGGGATTTCTGAGGCGGAAAAAAGATACCTAGAAACCCGGCGAACCACATGACAATCATAATCAAAGTCCGTAATCTCAGAACCATGCTTCAAGAATTGAAAAGGCGGATCTTCGCACTCATTTGTGGCCGGGATCGTCCCTTAGTACCCGCCACTTACCCGGGTTTTTATTGTGACTCAAGTCGCGCCGAATACTAGCCGAACGCCCCAGAACGGTGTTGAAGAATGATATGGATCAGAAAGTTCTGCGGTTTTGCAACAGCGCCATTTTTGCAAAGGCTTGCAAAATTGGACACATCCCTTGTGGTCTCATTTTCTGGGATCCCCTTCCGCTTCATTCCCACACTTTTGGTGGTTCCCTTCCTATCGAACCGGCAAACCCGGCGGAGAATCTGGATCAACACGAGCAACCCCTACCGATGGACAAACTTCACTGCGCACCACTGGGGAAGTGGATTTTCCCCATATTCATGGGGGTTTATTCATTTTGACTGGTGCTGGATTTGTTTTCCATCGGCAGTAAGAACAGCTTGCAAGTAGAATCCGCAAGACTCTAAGTAAGAAGTCAAATAGAATCAGACTCCCCTACTGGGGAGCTCTGAGGACCTTTTATAATGGCCCCAAGCGCAATGAGTCTCCCAATGAATCCGCAAGTAAGGCACCATCATGGTTGAGATCGTTGTCATTTGCGCAGATGCCTGTAAATTGGTATGAGTCAAAACATTGGGGTGCCCAAAATGGTGTTCCCACTGGTTGCCCTTTAGCACCACCCCACTAAGGGTACCCTCAAAACACGCTGTTTTAAGGGGAGCCACTTTTTTAGGAAACCGCCACCTCCTATCCAAAGCCATAGCCATGCATCCTTTTAGCAAGCCCATGATTTCATTTACTATAGTAGGTAAGCAAGGGAGCCAAGCTTTAACACCACATGCATGTCTCCAAATCGGTTACACTTAAAATGCTCGTTTCTTTTAGCTTCCCTTCCACCCCAGCCAATCCATTTTCTTCTTTGTTCAAAAGAGCGAGGTGTCCTTCTGGCTTCCCTTTCAAAACCATCCAAACCCTTCTTTTCCTTCTCAAACCAAAAACAACAACCAAAGAGGCCGCCCTTCCCCGAACGGACCGTGGCAGGCTCTCGCTCGCTTGGTGCCAGGCCCGTGCCGAAGGCGTGCCAGACTTGGAAGCCGCAGCTCGCGGCCAGCGAGAACTGCAGGTAGCCCCGGCTCATGCTGGCGCCGCTGGGCCCCAGCTGCACGCCCCCTGACGCTGACTTGGGTGCTGTAACGACCCCCCTGCAAATAGTTGTTTCCATCTCTCTTTTTTTTGGGGGGGTGGGGGGGGGGGGGTTTAGCTTTGAAAACCCAACTTGATTTCATTCCCAGAAAGTGAAAGTCTAAAGATCTAACCCAATAGCAACCAAGCTTACATCCAATTGGTGCTTTGGAGCTTAAGCAGGGGCTTCTCGTCTACCCTCTACATCCCTCTACAAGAAACGGGTAATCCCCAAACCAATCCAACCCAGCCATTTAGGACAACCTGACGGTGGTGAGGCTTGGTCCGAAGCAAGGGCAATCCCCCATTTGTGGTATGTACCGGTTCGGAGGTTGTTGTTCCAAAGCGAGGAATATGGCGGATATAAAATTCCGTGGCTTGGTGATATGTCCCATTGAAGGCCTGAGGATTGTGTTTTGATGGGAACCTTACACACTTTCGCACCTCAGCCTAAGCTTTTATTCTACCTGGGGCAGCCCGGGCGTTTCGCCACAGGCAACTTGCCATTGTCCTTTCAGCTTCTTGTACTTTCAGCTTCTAAAGGGTGGTTCCCTGGGTACGGGATGTCTACGGGGCAACAAGCCAATCCATCACGGACCATGCGCATTACCTGCTTTGACACAAATAACACACACACACACGAAGACTCACATGAGTCAAGCTATCATCCCAAGAACCTGATTATGAATGACAATGGCAACAGCTTCCTGCTGAAACCAAGCAACACTCGATGACGTACAAAGCTGCTTCACATGTGCAAATCAGCGGTCCTGATTTGTAATGTTTCTCGGTGAAATGCCAGAGCCGGGCACCCCCTACCGTTCTGAAACTTCTTCTTTTGGACAACTTTCTATTTATCGTTTCTCAGGAGAACGCTACGTTGCTTGCATTGTTTCAGGATTTCAACGTTGGTGCTGTGAAAGGGTGTTGTGAAAGCTGTTTGGGCCACCAAAGCAGAAACGTTCGCGGCGCGTGCAAAACCAGTTGGCCAACCGTGCGCGAGCCATTTACATTTCGTAACTTTTCTTCAGCAATTAAAAAACCGGCGCGCGCCTTTGAGTGCTGCAAAAGCGGTTCAAGCGCCCTAAACCCCTGCTCAGGTGCTCGAATTCTTGAAAACTACCCATTTGTTTTTATGCGGTGTCAGAAACAAGTACATTTTCAGCAATCCAATTTTGACAACCGAGACTCGAAGGCGACTGAAAAGGAATTCCCTGTTTCCAAGATGGTCTTTTCACGATGGTCTTCCAAAACCCCGTGCACTTCCATGTGGCCATGGGTCAAAATCCAAATCGTACCCTCAATGAACATCCCAATCCAACCACTAAGATAGGCTCTAACATGGGTGGTGAATTCACCTACCCACCCAAATGGGATCCCAAAACGGTTTCGACCACCACCTCTCACGTTTCTTTTTCCGCCACTGGCCCGCGCTCGCTTCTAGTCGCCTTCTGGGCGCGTGCCCTGGTGGAAGAGCAGCAGATTCGCCACGGAGGCGCAGAACGTGCAGAGCCCGCACCTCGGTCGCTGTTGACCGAACTGGCAACGGAGCTGCAACCGGGTCCCACTGGAATGACATCATCAAAAGCACCCTCCAAATACCACAAAAACTTGGTTGCTGTAACGACCCCTCTGCAAAAAGCGAATCACTTTTGGTGTCTTTAGTTTTGAAAACCCAACTTGATTTCAATCACCAAAAAGTGAAAGTCTAATGATCCGTTACCCAATAGCAGTCAAGGCACAAGGGCGCCAGCGGGGCCCAGAAGATGGCCGTCTCCTGCGTTTTTCGTTGCGTCGCGCGGCAAGGCGCGATTTCTCCTGGCACCTAGAGTGGTCTTGAGCTAGGCTTATGAGGATCCAAGTGCCCCATACTTGGACGGTTCTTGGTGACATGATGTTAGGCTCAAGCAATCTTGAGCAAAATCATCCAAACTAAATGAGGCACTTGAACCATCTTGGGCCCTCTGGAAACGGGTCAGTTTACCTGGAGGGTGAGTCTAAAGGGTCGTAATTCCAGGGTTCCTTAGATTTTCGAGATGCCTGGGGAGAAAGACAACAACAAGGAGGACTTGGCTGGGTGGATCTTGGCATATACCACTTGTTTCGGGCGAAAATTCCCCGGTTGGATTCACCTTTCTGTTTCTGCGGATGGGTCTTCACCTTGGATCTGGTTAAAAGGGACCGATGCTGCACCTGACAGAAAAATGCCTCTTCCCTTTCGAAGGCGTACCCATTATCTGTTTGGTTCTTTTTGCCCGCTGGTTTGGCATGCAAACACGAGCAAAAGAAAATAGATATGTTCAGCTCCCATTATTTTTGGGCGCTGCGTCTTATACGCATCTTTGGTCTCACGTTCTTCACGGCTTCTGCTTGCTTGTCCTAGGTTAGGCCAGCTGCATTCCCGCTTGCGCACACTAAACCCACCCGGCCCTCTTTGGGAAGCAAATGATGCCTTCACTGCTGACACTACGCTTGCAGGGATTGGCCTATGACGAGGTGACCGAACTCAACACCTAGCTGGCAAGTACTTTAGAAAGCACCCGCTCAGTCATGGCTCTTTACAAGCTATGGACTTGCCGCAAGCGTTTATCCCGCGGGCTGTTGCTGGTCACTTCTTCCCTTAGATCCTAGTGGCAAAAGAGAGGTCTCCTGAAATTGGGGAGCCCGAAATCCAATACTGATCTGCAGCCATAGCAAGCAGGAGAAAGAATAACTGCCCTTGACGGTCCTTTATATCTTAACGGTTCCTAATGGTCCTCAATGGCTATTCATAATCACTAATAGGTCGCTATTGGCGACTACATGGACCACCCTGCTATGGCTCTAGCGAGCATGTTAAGCTTACGCATCGCTTACGCGTAGGCATTTTGAGCGTTTCCCCTCAAGCATTGCTTACGCGGGCTCCTTTTCTCATGCAGCCGCCAGAACTACCCTCATCGAGTTTCAGCGGCTTGGCGTTGTGTTCTTACTGCAGTCAAGAAACGGGTTATGCGGCAGCGGCATCCATCTCGAGGGCAAACGGGCAGCCGAGCTAAGCGAGCTTACGAGAACCTTGCTCGCCTGCTTACGCAAGCTTACGCGCCCGAGCCTCTTTATTTTTCCTACATCAGCGGTTTCAGAAGCTTTTGTTTGTCGTAGTAAAGGCTGCAACAGCACCTAGAATGAGCCCCAATACCTCCCACTCGAAGTTCTGCTGGCTTTGTTTTCGATTGGTGAGCGCATGGGGTCTTAGACGTCTTCCTGTAGCCAAAGTGTCCGGGCAAGTTGCCAAGCTCGACTAGGTCGCAACAGCACCAGCCACCAATAGACACATAAGCACATGTGTGAAACAACTCTTCCGAGCATGCTTACAAAGCTTCACGAAGAAGGGCTTACGCAGGTGCTTACGCAGCATGTTTCCCCAAAAAGCGCTTATGCCGGCTTACGCGTGTCCCGACTAGGATAGCAAAACACGCACCACCAGCCCGAGTCCCGAGTTCTGAATATCTCGGCCGAGTCTCCATGAAGGTCGTCAGCAAGGCCTGCTGTTGGACAGCGCTTAAGGATGACGAGGTCTTCAGCCCGAGCAATCTCAAGTGCCTCTCTGTATTCCTCAGATAGATGCCAAAGGCGGCTCGGATGTCACTCTCTTCCTAAGCAAGTGCACAAACTGGGGTGCCCTCAGATCCCCTGCTAAAAGTTTAACGTTTAGTGGGTGAGATGGAAACTACCACTAAAGAATGGCTGAAAACCACCAAGCAACAACTTCTTTGGGCCCATTAGGGAACAAAACAACCAAGGCAACACCTCCAGAGTTCTCGCATGAGTCAAAGTCAACAGCCACGTGAGAAAATCGCCCAGCCACCAGCTCTGGGAAGTCTGGGTCCAAACCAAAATCTGTGGAAGAAAGGCAGATCTGTAGAAGGAAAACCATTATCATGGCAAACATCGAAGAAGGACCAAGTCTGCCAAACTTTTGCAACAAATACAGGGCACGTGGAAAGTGAACTGACAGTTTGCACTTATGAGAACGAGTACTTAGCCCGCACTGGGCTTCACTCACAGCTGAAGTTTGCGCAGAACTTCAGAAGCCGGCAAACCACCATGAAGACTCTGTATATGCAAATGTTTGCATTTTTGTGCACATAATGCAGACATAGAATGCAACAATATCAAATATGGAGCACTAAGCTTTCATACAGGTCTTTCCCAACCCCCCTCCCCCCCACCCCAGTTTAGAACTGGGTGGCTTCCGTTTGGTCGAGGGTCACGTGTCCATTCTGGACACCAGCCACATACGCTTGATTCCCTAAGTCTCGCGAGGCGGGAAAACACACACCCACACACAGGGCATATTGGTGACTTGCCTTATGTTCAATCCATCAACCGTCTTGTTTGGCCAGGTCACTTTCCAAAACCAAAAGCCTACTGGTGCATGCCAAATTCTCGTATGGTCTGTATTCTACGAGGGGAACCTTATCCCTGCAAAAGCGGCAAACAGCGTCCCCTCAGAAAGACACACCCATAATGGATATAAATCTTGATTGGGACGATTGTTGGCGCTGGCACGGAGCCAACGGAAAACCTTGTAAACCTTCACTGCATTTCCCCAGTTGCAATCAACCCTGGTCAGCCAAAACCAAATAGCTTCGGGCCCTTCCTTTGACTCGAAGCTTCGAGGGGAAGCAAACCTAGGTCTGAGGTCCTCCAGTAGAGGTTAGAATAAGGGTACCCTTTTGTATTGTCTATTTTAGTAGGGGAACCCTCCGGAGATCCCAACCAAAAAAAGACACCAAAAAACGATGGTAAAAACGTGTCCTGCGGCCGGGCGTCCACTTCTGCTCCGGCTGCGAGAGGTGCCAGACCAGCAGCATGAGCCCCGGCTGCAGCGTGGCGCGGATCAGCAGCTTCTTCAGCACCAAAGGCACCACCGCCTCCACCACCGCGCGGCTGCACCGACCCTCCTGGAGAGGTCTGGCGGGTGACTGGATTCGCAGCTTCCAGGAATCCCTTGCTTCATTTTGACTGGATTCGAATCTTATATTGGCGTTTAAATCCGGAAGAAGCACCATTTTGGGAGGTTCCCAGAAGGGAAACGGAGGGCACCCTGGTTTTGGATTTTGTTCTTGTTCTTTTCGCTGTTCTTTCGTTTGCACACGAGACATGGGGTTTGGCAAATCGAGTTTTCTGGAATTGTCTTCCAGCGAGATGTGTGTGTGTGTGTGCGCGCCTTTTGTGTGCTTGGGTGTGGTGGGGGTGGAGATGTCTGTTTGTGCCTGGTGAATTGCGGGATTGTCCAGAGCTTTAACTTTGATGCCGTGCAAATAAGTTGCATTTCTTCAATTGGCTGTGGGTCAAAAATAGGCTCACCCCAAAATGGAGCCCCGGTAAATAGACACATCGACTAAAAAACCCGCGGTTCCCTGGGGGCTGAATTTTGACCCATACCCAACCGAGGTGTTTTTTTTCACCAGCCTGCCACCACAGCTGGCTCTCGCTGCAGATGTCCGCATCGGTGTCCAGCACCACCTCATCCCACACCTCAGTTCAGTGACCCTGGAAAACAAAAGGGAACGCTTTTTGGGGAAGACACATTTTTTTTGCGCAAAAAAAGGGAACCCCTTTTTTTGGGGAACCCTTTAGTGGGGCAGCCACCAAAAAAAGGGGGAAAATGGTGCCACTGAACAACTGAGACGCATTCCAGTTGAAGAGATCGTGGGCGTCGTTGCGCGCGTCGCACACGCGCCAGTACCGCTTCCAGCCCCCCATGCAGTTCCTCACCACGAAATCGATTGAGCCAAATTTCCTGATTGACAATCCATGTATAAGCTGCAACCTGGATCGCCAGTTGCTTTACCCGCAACAGTGACTTGAAAAAGCAGCAACTTGGTTGGGGGATTATGGATTGTCTGGGAAAGAGGTCCAATCCCGAAGTTAGCATTCCAAGACAAAATAGCCTGCAAGTCAAAGCGTCTGTTTTCTTGATGGACATCCACAGTTCTGCCTGTGACCCAACATAAAAACCCGAACAAGAGATCCAAGAAACAAAAAGTCGAGGCGGTGACTGAGCATGAGTGAAATAAAGGAAAAGACCGAACAGGTAATCACCAACGTGATGAAGGGGCTAAATAAAGAGACTAACTTTGTGCTGCTTTTTATTGTGACCTCACTTTGGTTTTGAGGCAATCTGCTGAGTTGACCGTAAAACAGTTCAACCGTGTCCGGCCTGTGACGAAAAAATGACACATCCTACCAGCAAAAGGAACTCTCGCCAACAAGCAACGCTTCCAGTCAGCTGAGATTCTCGTGCAGCCAGACAGTGGTCAACACTGACAGCAGCCAGAAGGTGCAAAGTCGCCTCACTTCAGCTGGTCAAGAGCTGGGCCCTTTCTTGTCCCAGAGACAGTGGGAACATGTCGTGTCGTGCTTTCCTTTGCTGCCCATATTGGAGTCGTTTTCTGGAGAAGCCAACCAGGAAACACCGAGCGCCCGGCTTTTTTTTTGGGGGGGGGCCCTATGTCGACCACATCCCATGGGTTCCATTCGGTTCCGCTTCCGCTCCCTCAAGGCCCCCCCGCAGCGCCATGAGGAGGTTCTCAGCACGGAGCTTGGCGAAGTTGGCATAGGCCTGGCCGCCCGGACGGCCGCGGGCGGCATAAAAATTCTGGAGTCATAGGGGGAAAACCCAGAACAGTTCAGTGGTGTCTTTCATCACTCTTGGAGGGGAGGCCCCCCACCTTCCCCCCCCCCCCCATGAATTCGCGAAACACAACATCCTTGCTTGATCCTGCCAGAGTCCGGGAGAAGCTTTGTCGGACACAGATGTGTTGCTTAGAGTATCCAACTTGGGGTTGTGCAGGAAACCACCAAATTTGTGGGCTCAATTTGGGTGTATCTTAAAATATTTGTCGGGTGGTGTATCGATGTAGTAGTAATTTTGGTATTTCAGGAGCACTGTCCTTAACTGGATTACTGATAGCTGTCCAACTGCTACTAGAAATTAGTAGTTTTAGATAGTGAAGTGTTGTGGCTTTAATTCCAAACACTACCGCTACACATTCCAATTCAGGAGCTCCTCGTTACATATTTGTCTGTCCCACATAAGCTACCACTCGTTTCTGCATTCATACCGCACCACATCCATTCATCGACGCGCAGTATGTAAATATGTGTTTTTCCCCAATCTGGATAGGCCAAATTTTGCTCTTTAACCAAACACCTCTTCAAATTCATGAGTTGTTAGGACTCGATTGACGCAATTGTCATGGCTTGCAGAGAAAGCAACACCATCCATGGAAAAGAACGTTCAAAGGATTGAAAGGACTTATTTCCAAGGACAATGTGCCGATATGTATGGGTTTCCTGTAAAACATTCAACAACTTGGTTCCACGTCCAAACACGACCACTGTCTGAAAACTGCAAACCTTCAACTTCAACACCAGCCGAACAACCCCAAAAGGCACCCTGAACTTCAACTCTAAATCTCCTAGGTCCTCCAGTATAGAGGTTCGAATAAGGGCACCCTTTCTTCTTTTTTCTATTTTAGTAGAAGAACTCTATCCCACGCTCTAAGCCCTTTGCCTCTGACAGCTTGGAAGCCAGGCTCGCGTCCAGCAGCACGATGCCGAAGGGCGCAATCGAGTGGCAGAGGCTCAGCACCTGGTCCGACAGCCCCGAGGTGTTGGCCGCAGGCAGCACCTCCAGCGAGCCGACCGCTCGAGCCGAGCCGCCGACCGCGCCGCGAAAAACGGTCGCTGCCCCGGTTTTTGTTTTGGAGTCGGTGCCCAATCCGTTTTGGATGTTGGACGGGGAAACGGATTCATAGATTTCCACCGGTTTTTTTCGGGGGATCCCCAGTTGCGATTGTTTTTACCACAAACAACCAGCAACAGTGACTGAAAAAAGCGATCGCAACTTGGCTATCCAGGTGCCCCTTTTTGGTGTCTGACAGGGAAACGCATTAATGGATTTCCAACCGTTTTTGTTGGGGGGTCGCCAAACTTTTTTGGCACATGCCCAAGTGAAGTATGTGACTTATGCGTGAATGGAGGACCAAACGACGCCTGAAGGAGTCAAATGATTAGGCGCCACAGAGTTCCTGTGGCGAGTTTGAGTACGAAACTCTGGGCGACTCCTGCTCCTACTGCCAGTTGAAAACATCCAACCAGATGAGATTCTTTCTAGAGAGCAAACAGTCTGATTTGCGCTTCAGGCACTTGGGATGGACGAAGCCCTGCAGAAAATGGGATAAATCTTACAACTTGATGCAAAGCAAGGTGTAATGATTGCTGGTGGTGCTTCGGCTTTTGCCCTTTACTAAGAATGATATGTTCAGAATCCGGTCTATATATAGATAAATGGTATATGTTGTGAATCCCAAAAGTACAATGAGGTGCTTCCATGGTTTCCGGTGCAATACTGTGCACACAAACAGGTAATAGCGCCACCATACATGGAGCACCAACAGCCCTTGCTCATGGCTGACAGGGTCCGGTAGGTGCTTACCCAAGTTTGGGGGACAAATCCCCCAGGTGAGCAGGTGGTCTTCGCCTTGTGAAAGATGCTTTGTCCTGAAACCTTTAGCTTTGAAAGCAAGCCCACCCATGCTGGAAACCAAGAAGCCTCTGTTGCTTCAGACTCAACTTTGCGCTGAGCTGAAGAAGGTGTTGTGCTGGGAATCTTGGACCCACCGAAAGAGCCCTGGAGGGTCCAAATGCTCCCATCGGTGCTAGGGATGCAATTGCGACACGGTCATGTCATCGATCAAAGAACCTGGGACCTGACTGAAAGCGCAATGTGTCAACTCTAAACGAGCTGACCTCTTCAAACTCACAGTGTCAGTGCGCCCCGGCGAAAAACAACACCTGGGGCAGACCTCTAGAGTCACAAATTCAAGACTTATTAACCGGAGGACGCAACGTGACCTGGGCCCCGGAAAGCAACAACTTGTGCGACCGCGTGGCGGCCGAGCCATTTTCGACATGCGATCATATGGTGTCAAATGATATGACATCTGTGAAACGCCTACACCTTAGGACAACAAGATGCATCGCATCACGCACACAGTTCAGAAGCACCTACAGCAATTCAATCTCCTGCTGTACCTCGCTGGTGTCACCGCCATATGCTTCATCACCCCAGGTGATCACCTTGCCATCCTTGCGAATGGCGGCAAATGCACGCACGCTAGCTTGAATCTGATGAACGCCAGTCAGCTGATCTCGCACTGCACTGCTATCACCGCCATATGTTGGATCACCCCACGTGATCACTGTGCCGTCCTCACGCAGGGCAGCATAAGCACCTGCGCTTGCTTGAATCTGACAAGCGCCAGTCAATTGATCTCGCGCTGCGGTGCTGTCACCGCCTTGTTCTGGCTCACCCCAAGTGATGACTGTGCCATCCTCACGAATTGCAGCAAATGACTCCCCCTCAGTTGCCTGAATCTGTCGGACACCAATCAGCTGCTCGCTCACTGCGGTGCTGTCACCGCCTTGCTCTGGATCACCCCAGGTGACGACTGTGCCATCTTCACGAATGGCAGCAAAAACCCTGTCAGCTGCTCGAATCTGCCGGACACTGATCAGCTGCTCTCTCACTGCGGTGCTGTCACCGCCATCTTCTGGATTACCCCAGGTAATGACTGTGCCATCCTTGCGAATGGCTGCAAACGCGCATGAGGCTGCTTGAATCTCTTGGACATCAGTCAGCTGCTCTCTCACTGCGCTGCTGTCACCACCAAAGTCTGGAAAACCCCACGTGAATACTGTGCCATCCTGGCGGATGGCAGCAAAAGCATTATGCGTTGCTTGAATCTGAGAAACGCCATTCAGCTGCTCTCGCACTGCACTGCTGTCACCACCATAGTCTGGACGGCCCCACGTCACGACTGTGCCATCCTCACGAATGGCAGCAAAAGCACGCTCGCTAGCTTGAATCTGAGAAACACCATTCAGCTGCTCTCGCACTGCGCTGCTGTCACCACCAAACTCCGGAGCACCCCAAGTGATCACTGTGCCATTCTCACGAATAGCAGCGAACGCATTCCAGGATGCTTGAATCTCGCGAACATCAGTCAGCTGCTCACGCACTGCGCTGCTGTCACCGCCGAAATCTTGACAACCCCAGGTGACCACCGTGCCATCCTCACGAATTGCAGCAAACGCGTTCTGGGCTGCTTGAATCTGTCGGACACCCTTCAGCTGCTCTCGCACTTTGCTGATGTCGCCGCCATTGCCTGGATCACCCCAGGCCACCACCTTGGTTGCTGTTGAACCCGCTGCAAAAAGTTTAACTGTTTGTGGGTTTAATGGAAAACCCTGTGATTTCAACAAAAAAGTTAAAGTCTAAAGATTGTCTTGCCCATGGGGGGTAATGTTGACTCTCTCTGAATCAACCAGTTTATTAAGAGGGGGGTGTCCGATTCTAAAGATCCAACCCAATAGCAGTCCAGCCACGGAGCCCCCGGTGACATACAAAGCAAAGGCCGAGTTCGTTGCCGCCAGCTGGGCCTGTTGCACGACCGCATGGATTGTGTCTCCGTCTTTGAGGCAGGACTCCAAGTCAAGGTCCCGACCTCACAGGGCACTGCTAGGTGTAGCTTCAGATGCTGTCCACACAAAACCAACAACAAAAAGCCAGGTGAAGTTTCATTGGCGGTTTAGATATTGGCGGTTTGCTATTCTGTGTTTTGGCAAAATCCAAAGGGACACATCTACAACACAAAATGCCGGATGGAATTTTTACGTGCGCCTATCACCACCAGCTTTCCTCCCTAAAGACCTCAAGCTTCGGGTGGTTTCCGGGACCCGTTTTGCCCGGGGCCTTCGAGCGTGAGCCGCAAGAAAGGGAGCTGGAAGTGCCGCTGCGCCGCACGCTTCAGCGCTTCGCCTCGCGAGTCCGGCGCAAGCTGCAGCGTGCAAGCGCGCCCACTGGGCAAACACACCTCCACGTTCATGGCGCTGGACTGCTTGCCCTGGACTGAAAAGCAAGACAACTGAGAACCTGGCGCTTTAGGCTGCTTCCCCTTTTGGAGTCCCTTTTGAATGTGGATCACTCCTGGAAAACTGAAGATGTGCCGCTGAGCCAGAGCTGAGCCAAATGCAGAGGTGCCAACAACTTGTCCGTTTGGTGTAGGGAGTACCCCGCGACCGTAAGAAGCACGCGCGGTATTGGGTGCCTTTGGAGTGCCTCATAGGCCAAACCTCAGAAGCCTAGGGTCTGCTTTCAGCAGACCCCCAAACAAAAAACACACACAGCAACAACAAACGGTCGTGTTCCTGCTGCGTTTCCTTTCAAAAACCACAAAGACGAGCAATTGCCCTCAAACCACAATGGTCAACAAATAGTTGTTTTCCTCTGCCCTTCCTTTTAAAACCACAAAGACGAGTACCTACCCGCACAAAATGAAGGCACCCAAAGGTCGAGGGGGTTGGACTCTGGTTTGCATCGCCTGCGCCACGGCGAAGAGGATGGAGGGCAGAGACATCACGGCCACCACCAGCATCCACACCAACCACGCCAGGGCCTTCCGCGCCGACAAACCGCAGGCGTGCAGGGAGGCACCTGCGACGACGCTGGACGCAACGGAAAAAGAACGCCGTTCTCTAGGGGTTGATTCCTTGTCCAGTCTTTTCAACCATCGTTCTCTTCAAAAACCAGCTGCTTCCCCAGGGATTTGGGTGGCTGTGTAGAAAGAAGGATGCCCCCATGCTAAGAAACTAGGTCCTCCAGTAGAGAGTTAGAATAAGGGTACCCGTGCGTTTTTTTTCTTCTTTTTCCTCCGCCGTCTATTTTAGTAGGGGAACCCTCCCCCAAAAAAGAAACGGTAAAAGGGCACCACTGGGGGACCAGGAAGTCATCTCCAAGTTAGGCAGCCCGCAAAATGCTCACGTGGAGTTCCTGGAATTGGTTTGCAATGCTTCAAGGTCGCCGGGAAGGGCTGAAAATTGGCCACTGCGCCAATCCGATTGTCTGCTCTGGTGTGGAGGTCGTCGTTTTGCCATCATCCGGATCCCTTCAGAGCTTCAAGGGAGCAGTTTGCTGCCAAAATTTAACTTGCTAATTTGTCGAATAACACATTGTTTACTATCAGTTATTGTATCTTGACATTTGTTCTTAGCACAATCACGTTCAATCTCATTTAGGTTCATTTCATCAATTTCAACTTAACCAATTCAACCATATTATGTGAATCAATCACCTTTGATAAGGATTCTGTTCATTCAATTCATTCTGATAATATCGATTTTCTGTATACACGATTATTTAACACATTTATGACATATAATCCACTATTGATATTATGTGATATAATTTTGCAAGGGCTTCCTGGTTAGCACATTGCCACACCAAGACCCGAGACAAGACATGACCGGGCAATCCCTGTGGGATGATGAGACACCCTGGCCGCGGTGAAGGTTACAGCTTGGGCCGTCAAAGGCAACCCAACATAATGCATTCCCAAACAACAGCTACAGGTTGAAGCTCTTTAAGTGACTTGCTGCTGCCTCCGAACACATGAGGAGTTGTCAAGATCAAGATTCCTTGAACAAAGATTTGTTCGAACGCAGCTAGGCAACACGTAAACAAGCACACTAAAACAAAAACAATAACAACAACCGAAAACATGTGAAACACGAACAAACACAAGCAAGCACGCAGCACGCAAGCACGCAAGCACGCAAGCACGCAAGCACGCAAGCACGCAAGCAAACCAAAATCCAAACCAAACCAATCCAACCAAACCCAACCAAACCCAACCAAACCCAACCAAACCCAACCAAACCCAACCAAACCAAACTAAACGAAACGAATCCGGCCAAACCAAACAAACCAACCAAGCAAGCAAGCGACTTGCGGCTCGTGAGCAACACTCCATCAGCCCGCTCGGTGGTTTGACCTCAGTAAAATAGTGGACATGATTCGTGCTGATTTCGGATCCTCGCAACCTGGAGTCATCGCACGATGGCCCCACAGTCACTTCAGCAGTACTCTTGTCATTCGCCTTCCCCTGGCATACTCGCCACGGTCATGGCGGAGATGGCTGCCAGCGCACACCTGGGTGGATTTTGGTCGTGCTGTTTGCGTGAACTATGTTCTGGTCCTTGATTCCCCTCGTACTTTTTGTCAGCTTAGAGACAAAGCAGTGCCATGTCAAGGCTAAAGCAGGTGAAATGCGAAGCCAAAGCCCCTCCAACAAGTGTAAGCAAGTGCTTGAGACATCAACACGAGAACCACTTTGGACACATTGCAGTACCCCTTTCCTGCGCGGCTCCGAGGAAGTTGAATTTGTTCAGGATTCTTCTGGAGACGACCAGTTTACAGTTTATCGGCAACCGGAAAACCAACGGCTATGAACAATGGGTCTATTCGTGTTTGCCAAAATGTTGGCAGGCATTGCGAGTTTGCCAACTCGTGAGAGCCCAGTATCATAAACCCCTGCATTAATGACAGTGCCTGCCTCACAGTGAACATGCCAACATGTGTCCCGAATGTTGGGTGTTCCAAAGAAAACCAAACACCTGCGATTCTGTGGTTGTCAAGAGCTTCAACAAGTGCATCCTTCAAACTCCAGTAGAGCCTAATAACACCAGAGCAAGATAAGGCCCAGTAGGGTCGCCTGTTGGCTTTCACCATGCCCTTGACAAGCATAGGGCGCTTTTGCTGGTGCCCTTTCAGGACTCCAACGAGTAGCGTTAACTTCCGAAATCATCCAAAACAAAGACACCCACTTGATCAATTGACCCTTGAAAGGGCATCCCTCTGGTCAGCATTCTGGATTCATGATAGACATGAGATATGGGAATGTCGACAGTAAGCTGTCCACGCAATCAAAACCGGGTTGAGGCTAGCTTCCTGAAATGTCAACTGGATTCTTCGGATTCCTCCTGACTCAATAGGAAATATGTTCTGCCCCACTTGGAAACCATGGTTGCAACCATTGTTCGTTTGTATTTACAGAGAAATCATCATTCCGGGGTTTCTTAGGTGGTGCGACATGGATTTCGTCCATCCACTCCACAGTATGGGTTTTGCATCCAACACTAAATGTGCACTACCCCCCAACCCAACACCCCCACAACTTGGGACATGCGGCTCGCTGGCCACGTTTTTTAAAGGCGAATACCGAGTTTTTCCTCTACATCCGAGTGGTCTCTGGGTAGTGAACATCATCTTAGAGATTGTCTGACCGGGAACCCACATGTGTTTTTTCCCCTTTGAAACGAACACCTCACTTGAAAACCGCCTGCCCCCCCCCCCCCCCAAGAAACAAAAACGCAACATTTTGGTGCCCAACTCCAAGGTACGACATGGGCACCATGGTGCCCTTTTCCACCCCCCGCCCCCCAAAAAAAAAACGAGAACAAAAACAAACTCGGCAAGCGTAAAAAACAACGCGCACCACCTCCCAAGCGTTTAAACCGCGCTGCTTCGGTTTGCGCGGCGCGTTTATTGGGGGTCCCGGCCAGGTGAGGACCACCACCAGCTCCGCCCAGGGCTGCTCGAGACCCGCCACCGTGAACCAGGACAAAGGCTGGGGGCAGTCCTCGGCCGACAGCCCGACGAATCCCACGCCCCTCCCGCCGACGGTTCCGGAGGTTCCCGAGAACCGTGCCAGGAGCCTAAGGCCAAGTCCTGCGAAAAGAATCGGCATGAATGGTCAAAGCTTGTTGTGGAAACCTGGAATGAGTGAGGGGCATGCAAGGATCAGATGTGTTTTGCCGGTGAGGACATGTACGTGGAATGGAAGGCAAGGATCATAAGATGTTTGGTTTCTGCAGAGGAATAATGTAATTGGGTTGGGGGACTGCAATGATGACCGTAAGATGAGCACAGACTACATAACCAGCATACAATTCCTGACTGATCTGCAAATGTTGTGTCTTTCAAGTCTGATAATATATATATATATATATATATATAACAACTCTTGTCTGTGGGGTTGGTGAGGGGGGCAGGAGGGAGGGGGGAGGGGGGATGTTACCTACTGCATATGTACATCTCCACCTGATCACTGCTATTCTGCATGTATAATGTGTATGCATATATCAACCTATCCGCATAATAAATGATCAACTTTGACTGTTTTCCACCATAGTCAGTTTAGTCGAGGGCAAGGAGGCAAGCTGTCACCAAAGGTTGTCTCGGTATGTAACACAGATATGTATGCATTCTATTGTATTGTACTGCTATTGTCATGTAGATGTTTCCAGGACAACCCCCCCACAAATGCCTAGAATTGAGTTTCAGATATCTGGGCCAACACCACTCTAGCTTGTGAAGCGGTTTTCACGGAATCCCCAAGCAAGCGATATTTAGAGTTTTGGTGGTCTCAGCCAGTGGCTATGGGAAAGGGCACCCGTCTGTTTGATTTTCAAGGAGGGCACTGTCCCGGAAATGCAAAATCGAGTCTGGTTTCAGTGGGTTGGCCCGGACCTCCGAAAGGTCAAGGGCCTGACCCTTCTGATGCCATGCGAGCATTCCAAAGGATCCATTTGGGCGATTCAAGTTTCGCCAATCTGTTGTCCTCTTGGGCCCCCTCGAAGAGGAAACGTATATGAAGATATATTTTTTTCGCGGCTGCCTTTTAACAAGTGACCTGCGGTCCCACTGAAAGTGCCACTCGAGGCAAAGGGAAAAACGCAAAGCTCCCTGCAAAGACCTGAGGCCAATCCCAGAAGTCGATGCAAAACGCGTCCGCTCAAATGGGCTCGCCCACCGTATGGCAACGAACCATCGGGAACCAAAATCAAGAGGTGAACCCAGACCTGAATGATGTCAGGCTCCTTAAACGAAACTTCACACCCATAGTACCCTACGCCCCTACGGACATAGAACATCATGCAACCCACACAAGTCCCTTTTAGACATTTATTTCGAGCAATCTGTCATTTGCAGTGGGCACAATGAGCCCCAAAGAGAGGTCTCCTAAGGAAAAAGTCTTCCAACAAAACGTGCAGGTTCTTTGCATTTTGCAATCCTTCAATGTCTGAGCGTGTCTGTTAGTAGCCTCGCCTACGCCCTCTAAAAAATGTCACGCTTCTGTTCAAAGAGATCTATGCACGGTGGCCCAAGCCACGTAATTTTCATGAACCGCGAATCCACGCGGAGCTTGGGAAACCTTAGTCATAAGGAAATTCTGGGAGGAGACTCTTGGAGTCAAAGGTGAGGCACTGATTTTCGCTGGTTGAAGTTTTCCAGGGCCGCTATCATGCCATGGGTCATAGTAGGTGGCACCCCAGAAGAGCGCCGGCAGCAGCAGGCAGCAGCAGATGGAGAGAAAACCAGAGAAGCGGAGCAACACCAGGTTGGAGCTGATGACCTGAAGACGAAAACACCTGGACGGAGCCATTGGAATTGTGGCTCAAAACTCACCAGGGGCAAACCGCAGGTTTTGGTCCATGTTTCCACTTACCAGGGCAACCCTTTTTGGTACCGATTTTTTGAGCCACAGCCATTTGTTTTGACGATGGTTTCAAACACTTGTTTCAACCACCTCCTTGTGCTTTGGCGGGTTGAAACACACTCTGAAGCGAGATGAAGACCTATAAGCTGGGCTTGGGTCGCAAGCGGTCGAAACCTCAGAAACCAGGTTTCTGGCTAGCATTGGGCTAAGATCAAAGTGCAAGGGCTAGGTGTCAAGACATGGCGCGCGTCACAGGCCTTGTCATTCCGGCCGTCCGCAGCCAGCGCCTCAGAAATCCTCGGTGCCAGGCGCTTGCGGAAGAGGAGGCCGGCCAAGGCCAGCAGGAAGGCCGCACTGAGCACGAAGCAGTTGTCCTTGAAGACCTGCCCGCAAAAGAGCAAAAAAGAAGGCACTCGCTCCTTTCAAACAAATGAATAAATCAACACTAAAAAAACCAAGCAAGCATATCAGACACACACACACACACAAACACAAACACAAACACAAGCACACAAACGGTATTAAATAATAACAATAAAACACGCAACTGGACGCAACAGGGGTTTAGTTTGGATAATATTTTAGAAGAGCCACTCAAATTGGGCCGCCATAACTTGAAGACTCTTTGGGTTTTCGGCGAGCCTTGGGGGAGAAGTACAGAAAGTTTTGGTACTCGTCCTCCATGATCCTCAGCTCCGGAACTCGCAGCGGCTTGAAGGAGCTGCTTCTGGAGTTCGGAAACTCACGTTGTCAGCTTTGTCCACCAACCCCTTTCCCCCGGTTTTCCCCTTACACACCACCCGAAAGGGGAACCCTCAAAAACGAACCCCGCAAATACCCAAGACCAAGACTTCAGCCCAGGGCTGAAGACTTAAGTCTACTCAGCTTCCCTCTAATTGGTAGCTTGGGTTGGTGCCTTGGTGGGCAAGGGCTTGTTTCCCATTCACCCTCTACAAGAACCAGGGTTCAAATCGCCAAACTAATCCAAACCGAATATTTTGGGAAGAAGTAGGAGCCCCTAGAAGGGTAACCATAAATGAAGTGGGTATGCTTCAAGGCCATCAGCCAGAGTCCCATAAATGTTGTCAAGTGTCGTCACTCGACAACCGCAAATGACCCACTTTACCCAGCCCCAACAAATGCATAAAGGCATTCTCACGCCTCACACTCACACACAGTAAATGTGGCATGTGTTAGTCTCGCTCTCGCACAGCCGGAACATCACATCCTCAAATAATGCGTATCTTTCTGAGACCCCGCTTCTGACGAAACAAACGTGCAGGGTTGGGGGCACGGATTAGGGGACCCCTTCTGGGCAGGTTTGTCATCCCACATAATTATGTTGTTCAATTGTCAAATCCATCCCCTTTCCTGCTCGTGTCCTCTCTGCTTGAGTGTTTCTCTGATCTATGCTCAATACGTTTTGTCGCAAATAGCTGGATATCACAAGAATCCTTGTATAGTATCGGGCTAGCAGATAGAAACAATATTTTTAGAGTAAATGAACATGCACATTTCAACAGTCTATCAACAAAAACAGAGAGAATAAATAGGAAAAAGACAGTTAGAATTAAATAATAATAAGGGTTTCTGCTATGAACAACTACTCTGCGAAAAATGTCCTAGCTGCTAGCCCGTTTCTAGATATTTCTATATACGCTTTCAGGAAACGATGTGGGTCCCATGATTTTCCATTTGGGTCCGTCTCTCTCTCTCAAGGGTATATGCAAAACCAAACGGAAACCAACCGTTTGAGGGGGCCCCCGAAGAAAGACACACGCATTTGCCAAAGGAATGCATGGCTTCTCCTTTTTTCGGAGCTCAAATGCTCAGCCCGACGGGCCATGCCCCTCTCCCACAAACAGACAGAATATTGCAAAATAAGGCTTTCTGCTATGAACAACTACTCTGCGATAAATGTCCTAGCTGCTAGCCCGTTGCTAGATATTTCTACATATATATATATATGTACGGCTTTCAGGAAACCATGTGTGTCCCATGATTTTCCATTTGGGCCCGTCTCTCTTTCAAGGGTATATGCAAAACAAAACGGAAACCAACCGTTTTGAGGGGTCTCCCAAAGAAAGACACCCGCATTTGCCAAAAGAATGCGTGCTTCATGGACATCTGAGACATCTGCTTTTATTATTCACTTTTCTTCTTCCTTGACCCCATGCATCTGCGCGGCTCGATGCCATCAAACGTTTCGACACCATCAATTGGTCAATCATGGTCAATCTGTCTGAAATTGCCTTGTGACCCAGCTTGCTGAAATATTTAATCTGTCAAAACATATTCTATC